TGCATTCGTGAGGGCGATTCCAGCTGACAGGCACATGGGGGCCATGAGCAAAGTGAGGAGGGGCGGGAGGCTGGCTGGCAGGGGAAACAGGTTCAGAGCCAGGCGCAGTGTGGGAGGCGGGAAGGGCTGGAACTTCTGCCTGGTTCTTGGGGGGCGGCCACCGGAAACCTACCTTGCAGCCCAGGTTGGTAGCTTTGCCAGAGGGCTACGCTTTGAACTCAGACACCCCCTAGACGTCTGCCTCTTCTTTTGGTGACTACTTGTGGGGTAGCCATTGTGTTCCTGGCACTGTGCTGGGGCCTGGAGACAAATAAATTCCAGTCTCACTCCTCACCACCCTGCCCCCCCAAGACTGAATCTATCTTTTGGGCTGAGACAGACACAGAAAGAACAGATGAGTGTTGTGGGTGCCATGCAGGACATACCCCCAGGGGTACAAAGGAGAAAGGGCAATTATACCTGGGGCAGCACAAAAGGCCTCGTGAAGGAGGGGGGTGCACAGAGCTTTGGAATAGGGGTGAGGGAAGAAGGGACACGGCAGGCAGAGGTCCCTGCATAAGCAAAGCAGGGCATGCTCTGATGGCTGGCACCAGCTCTGCCACCTGAGCACTGGGGCTGGCCCCCAAGGGTGTGACTCTGCATGAGTGTATCTGACTGTGTGGATGTTTCTGGGGGGCAGGGGGTGTGCATGCGCACATGTGCGTCTGTGTCTGAGTTCAAAATCACTCATTAATTCATCAAATATTCAGAGACAACCTACTATGTGCAAGCTGCTGTTTTGGGGATTCATATTTTAATTTTTTTCCAGCTTTACTGAAGTATTATTGACATATATGTAAATTCAAGGCATACAATGTGATGATTAGATACATGTAGATGTTTGAAATAATTACCACAATAAGGTTAGTTACCACCTCCATCCCCTCACGTTTTGTGTGTGTGTGTGGTGATAACAGCTACGATCTACTCTCCTCATAACTTCCAAGTATATAATACAGTATTGCTCCTTACAGTCACCATGCTGGGCAGCACACCCCCAGATCTTATTTATCTCACAGGGGGGAGTTTGTACCCTTTGACCAACATCTCCCCATTTCCCCCACCCCCAAACTCCTGGCAACCACCGTCATGAGTTCCATGAGTTCAGCATTCTTTAGATTCTGCATATAAGTAAGAACATATCAGTATTTGTCTGGAATTCGTATTTTGCTGCCTGTCAGGAAAGAGCTGTCTAAAGAACTACATGTGCAGACGAGTTTGCCCGAGATAATAACAGGCCTCGTAGAGGTGGGTACGGAGTGCTTCGAGAAGTCAGAGGGAGAGGTGAACAGACAGAAGTCAGGGAAAGCCTCAGAGAAATGACACTGAGGTTGGATCTTGGTGAGGGAAAGGGAGTCCCAGGCCGGGAGCCAGCTGGAGCGCATGCACAGAGCACTGAGGCTGTGGTTTCCAGGGGCAGCGGGCAGTGCTGGGCGTTTGGCCTTGTCCCAGAGGTGATGGGTGTCACTGAAGGCTTTTGAGCAGGAGTAGTTAGTGGTTTTAGAGGTCTCCGGCAAGGGGTAAGGGTGAGGCTTGGGGGTACATGAGAAGGAAGAGAGAGGGGTAGAGGAAACAGATTCTGGGGCCTTGTCTGTAGCAGGGCCCGCAGGACTTAGTGACTGATGGGATGTGGGGACCAAGGGGGAGAGGTGCCAAGGATGACTCTAGATTAGGCGATGTTGCGATGGGCAGTTCCGTTATTAGTAAGGGGGCCGCCGAGAGGGAAGCAGGGCTGGAGGGGAGTGTTGGGTGGGGAAGGCCAGTCCTGTGGCCTGAGGATGCATCCCACCCTGTTCCCCCTAACACGGCCTCTTTGGGCACTCCTTCCAGGCAGTGGTCCCCAGGGAACAAGCACTCGCCCCCCCCCAACCATGCCAACGTGGAGAGAGCAGGTGGGGTGTGAGGAGGAAAGACCACAGCACCAGATACCTGTGGCCAGGGACAGGGTGCCCAGAGGGATAAGGACCCCCTTCACCTGGCTTCCCTCTTCCCACAGTCCTCATCCCCAAGTCCTGCGTAGGTTTGGGGGATCACCAGGAGACACGATGCCTCGTACTCCTCTCCAGATTATTAAATGGGACCTGGTAAGTCACTGTCCCTCCATTGTCCTTCAGTCCATCCATTGCCTAGCCCTCCAGCCCTGTGCTGGCCCCGTGCAGGATGCCAGGACTCTGCGCTGAGTGTGCTTGGTGCCTACCCTGTGGGCACTCATCATCAGAGAGACAGCCCTGGGGCCAGACCTTTACAACTGCCATGCTGACAGGAGCAAGGGCATTGTGGGAGCATAGCAAGTGGTGGTTGTGCCTGGGGCGAGGAGGAAGTGTCCTCGGATTTCTGGGAACCCTGGAATTCTGGGGCTCCGGATGGAGAACCTGCTGTCCACTGGCGTAGTTATCTCTGAGCCTACTCCAGGCCATGCCCCCCATGGATTTCTCCTGTCTCCCTGGCCCTCTGAGAGCTGGGGGTGGGAGAGGCAGCCCCCAGCATGAGGATGCTAGCAGCTGCCCCTGGGTGGGGGACCTCAGGTGAAGGTCTCTCCCAGCCTATGGTGGGCCTGGCAGAGACCCTTAGGGTGTGGCTGGCTGGGGCAGCCTCCAGCCTCGGAACCAGAGAGCCACCTCTACTTTCAGGAGGCTTGAGGAGAATCATGAGGAGCGCTTCACATGCTGCTTTGTTCTTGAGGCCTCGGTCCTGTGGCAGCTCCTGTGGCACCTGGGAGGGTGCTGTTGGTGTCGGGGTGGGAGGCCCAGGCAGACACTTGGACGCTCCCTCTCTGGGAGGCCTCCTGGAGCTGTCACTTTGATTAGGGGTCTGTGGGGCTGGCGGTTTGCACAGTGCCCGGCCGTCACAGGCAGTGAGGCGGGGACCCGCTCCTGTTCATGCCCTGGAGGCCTTCTGAGGGAGGCAGATGCATGGGTGGCTCTCCCGCTCTGAGCTTCCTCACCAATGCCTGGGTCACAGGCTGCCTTCCTCAGCCACACTCAGCCGCCAGCCTGAGGGAGCCTGGAACACCTGGGAGGGGGCACAGGATGGGGACACAGCAGGTACCCCACATTTCCCCATCCCCCTCCTCCAGGTACTTCCCCACCTTTCCCTGCCCATCCTCCACCCCCTCTGTCTCTGTCTCCCACACAGCAGGCCCTTTCCTTCTTCAAGAATGTGTCTTGAGCCAACTTTCACTCCCCCTGCCCCTCCTCCCATTGGGCTGTGGGCACCAAGAACCGCCACCCCCTAAGGCTGAACTCAGTGATCTTACTGACTGTCACACACACACCCTCCTCAATAATTTTCGGTGGTTCTTGAACATCTGCAAAGAGAAAGGTTTGCCGGCCCAACCCTCCTAGCTCCAACCTCTTGTGTGGATGTTGGGCCCGCACAGCACATGGGGGACACCTTGGCAAGGAGCTATGACCTACCCCCAGCACCAAGTTGAGTGCTTGGGAGCTGAACTGTTGGCAAAGCACTTCCACATGCACCTGGCCTTCCCTCTTCCCACAGCCATCCCAGGCAGAGATGATGGCATTCAGCCCTCACTTTACTGATTGGGATATTGGAGCTCAGAGACTTTAAGCAACACACCCAAAGCCACACAGCTGGCTCAGATGCCAGCGTGTCTGACTCTAAAGCCTGTTTCACCCCCAACTCCTGCTGCTGAGGAGAACGGCCCACATCAAGAGACACTGAGCCTTAATGTTTGTGGAGTGGGGAGGAGGGATGGCCCAGAGAAGGCAGCCTGGCTCCCAGGACACATGATTCCACAAATGCTTAGGGCCCTGGCCTCTCCTCTCCCTGTGCCTTGGTGTCCTCAACTGAAAAATAGGGAGATGCCAGCCATGGCCTGCTCTGCCTAGGCTGGCTGGGGAGGGGGTAGGGAGCCTCCTAAAGTCAACTGATCCCCCCTGTCTTTTGGCAGGACTGACCCAGCCATCCAGTTCAGCCTCCCACCCCCACTGTCCCCCCATCCACAGCAACATGACACCAGAGTGGAGAGAAGGGGATTTCAGAAATGACTTAAGCCCTGGCTTACTGAAATGGCCAAAGACGCCTTGCGTGGGGAGTGCAGGGTAGACACTAAGGGGGACAGGAAAACAGAGATGCAGTCAGAGTATAATGGATTTCAGGGCAAAGAGGCTGCAGCTGCACCAGACAGTCCCTATGCCTTTGGGGGCGGGGAGGGATCAGAGTGGCAATGGAGGCTGTCCCCTGCCCTGCACCCTCAGACCTCCCCTAGCTCTGGTTCTAATCAGTCCCCCCATCTCCTCTCCAAGTCTTTGACTGCAGAAGCCTGTTCTGAGCCCCAGAGATCAAAGACTTTGAGCTCAGGTCACACCTGGGTCACCGGCTTGATGAGCTCCTCACCCCCACTCCCCACAGATGGATTAATTTCAGTCTCATCAGGAGGCCCGAAAGCCCTCCAGCCTGTCCCCCTATCACTTCAGAATCTCCCTGGGTTGCTGGGTCCTTCTCAGTGCCCCCCAGCCCATCCTGAAGCCTTTGGGTGCATGTTTCAGAGAAACTGTGCTCCCGCAAGAGCACTGAGAAGTTTTTGAAATCTAACCAGTGCCTCCTGCTGCTGTTCTCCTTAAGTGGCAGATGATGGGACTGCTTCTCGCTCTCCCTGGACAGCCATCACATCCCCCTCCCCCAAGTGTGAACCTGACCATCAGCATCTCCCCCGAGGGACCACCAGGAAAGGCAAGGCCTTCTGGGTGGAGAATTAGGGGGCTTAGCTCAGATCCCTGCCCCCACGGAAGACAAAGATTCTGTCTGTGTCTGGGTGGGTTAATTAGCTCTGGGCTTGAGTTTCCTTCCTCTCCCCACCCCAGCAAGTCCTTCCTCCTAGAGCCTCTTCTTAACAAACCTGTTTTCAGGAGCTGCTGCTGCCAACCCACCCCCCCACCCAACCCAGACCGTCTTTGCGGCTGGGCTCGGGTACTGGCTGCTCCAGAGATTACAGGTTATTGTCTGGTGGAGACAGGATGCTGACGGGGGTGGGGGGCTAGCGCTGGGACCGGGGCTTGGAATGCGAGACTGGATCCAGCTGTGGGTTGGCTGTCTCCTCTCCCCTGTTCCACCCCCTCCCAGCCACCAGGTGCTCAGGTAAGTAGAGAGCCTGCCTGTTTTCAGGAAGCGGAGGGGGAGAAGGGGACGAAGGAGCAAAAGGAGGAGAAAAAAGACTGGGGGGAGGGGTGGAAGGAAGGGTGCAGGCAGGGGAGGGGTGTCAGAAGTTCTAGCTGATCGGATGGCCACCCCTCACATTGCCCACGCAGCAGGTCCAATAGTCCAGGTACTAGACTAAGAGGGCATCTGGGCTCCCTGCCCCCTTCCCCCACCATGGCCAATGCTCTGGGATCAAGTGGTAACACTTCTCTGAGCCTCAGTTTCCCCTTCAGCAAAAAGAGGTAAATAGAAGGGGATGATGATGGGCAGAGGATGAGTAAAGCTGGACAGGAGAACGGGGGCTCCTGCAGCAGCAAGCCCTGAGGCAGGGCTTCAAAGTTCAGCAGCAAGTACTTTCTGGCAGCCAGAGAAGGTGCTCAGGGCATGTCCTTTCCTGGAGGTCTCTGTAGGCAGGTCACCTCTTCGCTTCAGCCTAAGAGGCACTGGGCAGGGACTCTCCAGGAGTCGAGGAATTGGATGCCCCCATCAGCCTCCCTGTGTCCCTAGTCTCCGCATTTGCCCTGTACTCCGCCCTTGGGGAAGGACGTGCCCTGTTCTTTCCACCCATGGTTGGGATGGGAGAAGCCAGGAAATAGGCAGTTCCTTCCTGGCCAGGGGAGACAGGGCCCAGGAACCGCTGCTTTCCAGGCTGGAGCAGGAGTCCCTCCCTCTCGCCCTCCCCTCCTATCCCTCGCAACCCCCACCCCTTCCCTCTGTCACTCTCTGGCTGGGTTTCATTTGCTTCTCACTCTGCGCTCAGCAGAGCCTCCAAAGGCAGAGAATGCTCTTGGGTGAGTGCTGAGGACGGGGGTGGGGAGGGGGCTTAGAGACGAGCGTGGGTCCCTATCCTTTTCCTGCTATTGTTGATACCCAAAAGTTGTCTTTCAGAGACTACGGTAGCCAGTTGACTCTTGGTACCTTTTCTCATGTCCAGGGCTGGGCAGGGGAGTCCCGACTCTGGCTGGGAACAAAGGTGGGGCGGGGGTGGCAGGAATGGTTGGGGAGCTGGGGTCCACCCTGCAGGTCCCCCCTACAGGATGAGGTGCACTGCACTTTGGGGCAGACGCGCGTCCAGGGAGCCTGTGTCAAAGGTTCCTTGCATCAGATCAGACCTTCGACAGCCTCTAAGGGGCTGCCCGGAGGCCCCAGGGCTGTTAGGAGAGGGGGCTGAAGGGGTAGTTGTTACAGCCACAGAGAGAGAGAGAGGAGCAGAGGGAGACAGGCAGAAAGCAGGGGACTCCTACCCGAGGTCCAGCCACTGCGCCGCGGTCAACACTGATGCTGCCTCCCCTTATTCATGGTCTCCTCTCCACACAGGGGTCGCCTGGCCCTGTTTGAGGGAGACATCCACTATCCTTTAAGGGGCATTTTTGGGAACCCCTTCCATGGCAGCAAGGACTGGAGACAGTGGGCTGGGGCAGAGTTCCATCATGACTGGACTTGGGGGTCCTCCTCCAGTGCGGGGAGGGGGCACTCTGGGAGATCTTGAATGCCAGCCAACCTTGAAGTGGGTTGGGGGCTCTGGAGAATGTGGGGAGGGACCCCCTGGCTGTGGTGGGAATCCTAATCCTACAGGGAGTGGGCAAGCCAGGGGTCTGGGTTCAACCTCCCTTGGGCTCTCTCTCCCTCCTGGACTCCCATTTTCTTTACAGAGTTCTGGATTTATCTGTAATAGAAACGGCAACTTTACTATTTGAGGTGTGTGTGTGTGTGTGTGTGTGTGTGTGTGTGTGTGTATGCTTCGGGGAGGACCCTACTATCTGCCCCTATGACTTGTGGTAGGGAGAGAGAGAGAGAGAGAGATTCTGGGGTTGGCTACATGAACTCGTGTGTAAGTCAGATGCATTTAATTTTGTAAGGGGGGGGGGGGGTCTGTGCACACACCTATCTCTGCGGAAATGTGTCTGATCTTTGGGAACGTATATCTCTTTGTGATGGTGTGTGCTGGTGTAGGCCTGTTGTTTTGTATTGTCTGTATATGCCACTGTAGGGGTCTGCGTGTCCTCACGTGTCTGTCTCTCTGGGTGTATACGATCTGAGGGGGGTCTTTGTTGATCCTGCCTGTGTGTGTACGTGCATGCTCATGCGTGGCCTCTGTGCCTGCCTTTGCCTCTTGGCCAGCATGGGTATCTGTCTGTCTCTGCATGGGTACCACCTCCATATGCGCACATATCAGCATGCGTAGAAGGTCTCATCACGGGGAGATCCGTGTAAGTGTGTGCCTTGGCATCTGTGCCTGTCACCATCTGTGTGGGTGCCTGTTGACCGCAGGGTGTGTGCCCCTGTGCTCTTCTGTGTGTATCTTTCCCAGTGATGGCAAAGCAGCAGGATGTGGTTTCCCCAGATCCTCTCCCTTGGGTGGCAGCCAGGATGATGTTATTTCATGAGACACCTGCTCTTTGCCCCTGCCCCAGCCTCAGGTGGACCCCTATAGGTGGCCTCTTCTCTGCTATTCCATTTGGTTTGCTCGTGTCTGACCAGAGCAATAACCCACCCTCTTGAGGCAGCGGTCCAATGAGCTGTGGGTCCCAGCTGTGGACCCCTAGCCAGGGGGATTGTTGGGGAGGGACTGCTCCGACATACTTAGCCAGGGTGGCTGTTCTGCTGCAAAATGCCATCCTAGAAGACCCGCCACACCTAACCCTTTCAGAGAATTTTAGGCCTGTCGGGCTGTATGGTGCCACCCTAGGGCAGGTCTGGGGGCTGCCATGTCTCCTTCCATTTGAATGTACCCACAAGCCAGGTGGTCACACGTGCGCATGTGTGTGCCATGACTCATGCATCATCCCAGCGGCCCTGGCGGCCAGGGTTCACTGTGAGTGTCAGAGGCAGATGGTGGGTGGCACAGAGCGCCCTGTGAAGGGTGATGGGAGGCGTTCCCGCAGCTACCCCAGAGGCCCCGACCTCAAATCAACGTGTGCCCTAGGCCTGGAGTGGGAGAGGAGTGTACACAATTATGGGGGGCTGGAAGGCATTTCTGGGCGACTTTGTGCTGACTAGAAGGGGAGACTGGGTCACCAAGAGCCCCAGCACCCCCTCTTCAAATGGCCTCCACACCCAGCTCCTCATCTGGTCCTCAAACCCATTCCTGTCCTGCCCTTTCCTCCTCACCTGGCTGTAATTCCCACTTCACAGATGAGGAAACCGAGGCGCATTGCTAAGTGTCCAGCCCAAGGCCTCAGAGTTCAACATCTCTGGAGCTCCACTGCAGGCCTCTGGACTCCAGGTCTGGCAGGGTTGGGCTGCCACAGCCCTGAATTCCTCCCACAGGGAACCCACACCCTCTCCCTCTCTCTCTGGGGTACCCACACAGGGGTGAGGGTCTCCTGTGCATCTGAGAGGTCCCTCCTCCCTCCACACCCATTTCTGGCATCCCCATTATAAATAACTCATAAGATTAAAACATTGAGCTCCCAGCTCAAACCCCTCCTGAGGTTCCTGGAAGGTCAAAATCCCTAGCAGCCACTGCAGAGCTTTCTAGCGCTGCTCCCCCACCTGCACACCGGCACTCTACCTTGACCTTTGTGAACCAGCGCCACCGCTGAACTTTCAACTTCCCGATGCCTGCCAGTCCCTGGAATGCCCTTCCCCTAGGACATTTCACTCGTCCTGTTGTGAAACCTAATCGACTCTCCAGGCGACCTTCAGCTTACCGCCGCTCCTGCTCCTCCGGGATCCCAAAGCATTCTGTTCAGAACTCTCGGAGCACCTGCCAGAGGGTAGCCTCCGGAGGCTCTACCTGTTGGTCTCTCACCCGTGAGCTCTCACCTGTGAGCTCCTCTAGGAACCGAGGGCTACAGGTGATGGATGAATGACTCCTGTCCCTCCCGCCCTCGGGGAACATCCTTCCTGCGGTCTAACCTCTGTCGCTCCTGCTGCAGCGGGCGGGGGAGGCCGAGGGCCACGCCGGGCTCAGCGCGCGCCTGGCCGGCGCCGCGGCAGGTGGGCGCGGCCAGGTGAGCCCCGGGGGTGCCACTGCCCTGCCCGCGACCCCGGCCCGCGCCGGTGGCTGGCGCCTCTTCGCCCCGGTTACCGCTAGTGGCTGCTGTCGCTCAGTGGAGCCCAAGGAGACCGCGGCCAGAGCGTCCACCGCGCAAGATGGTGGCTCCCGTGGCTCCGTGAGTGTGTGCGGGCGGGGTGCCCGGGCCCGGCGGGGCGCCCCCTCCCGGAGCTTCCGGGCAGGGGGCGGGCGACGGGGCTGGGGGCCTTGCGGGGCGGGCCCGAGCGGGCGGGCGGAGGCCCGGTGCCTCCGGGGGACCCCTCCGAGGGCTCCTCCACCGCGCGCCCTCCAGAGGAAGTTCCCCAGCCCTCCGCGTCCCGGCCCCGGGAGGATGGGCCGGGCATGCAGGGAGCACCAACCTCACTCGGGCTGCCAGGGGAGGGGGCGCCCCGCCTTACTTTGCCGGGAGCTTGGACTCCTCTTAGTGGGGTCCCCAAAGGAAGGGACCCAAGGAGCCTGAGGAGAAGGCTGGGACCACCATCTGGGACCAAAATAAACACCGTGTTTGAGGCTTTCGTGCCGGGTGGAATGGGGGTGGCAGACGAACGAACACACAATCGCCCCAGGGGCCCTTTAAGCTGTGCGGGCTCCCATTGAGCTGACCAGGGTGTGGAGAGGTGGAGGGACCTGGGTCTGCCACAGGTACGCCCTCCTGGTCAGTCTTGGTCACACAGTCCCGTTTTATTTACAGCCGGCCCCACCTACCTGGTTCCTTCAAGTTGAGGTTGAGAATATCAATGGCTTTTGCCTATTTTTTTTTAGAGTGGCGCTGTCCAATGAAACTTTTGGGGATGATGTAAATGTTCTCTTATCTGGGCTGTCCAATACAATAGCCATAGGCATATGTGGCTATTGAGAACTTGAAATGTGGCTAGTGCGACTGAGGAACTGAGTTATAAAATCTGTTTAATTCTGATTAAACAGCCACATGTGGCTAGTGGCTACCGTATCGGACAGTGCAGTTTCAGAATCTCCATCTTCCCATGCATCCTCCCTACCTCCTCTCTTGTTCTTTTATCAAAAAGATCCTAGGTCTCATAGTCATTTTATCCCTCTGCAGAATGGGGCAGGATAGCCAGCTTCTAGGGATGTGGAAAGGATCTGAAAAACTTCCAGAAGGGTATCACCTTGGCCTGGCACCTCCTCCCCATTTTAAGATCCTTGGGGTGGTGGGCTGGACAAGGTCACAGAATCATGGGATCTTGGGAGGAAAGGATGTCAAAGGCAGCTGGTGTAGCCACCCAATAGGTGCCCAAGGGCCCACTCCATCACTCTCTCTTCCTGAGAGCTCGTGCTTCCTTATGCATTCACTCCCCAAATTTTGTGGAGCACCTGATGGGTGCCAGGCACTGTTCCCTTCTCTAGGGTTCAGATGTGAACAAGTTAGTTAACTTCCTGCCCTCAGGGAATGTGAGAAAGAGAGAGAGCCTAAGCAAGCCAAGCAATAGAACCAGAGGGGAAGTGGAATGGGTCAACTGTTGGGAGGGAGAGTGGGAACATTCTAGAAGAAGGCAAAGGCCCTGGGGATGAGAACTTGGTACCCTGGAGGAGCCAAAAGAAGGCTGGTGTAGCTGGAAGGGGAGGGAGGCACAAGTGGCCGCCGGAGATGTCAGCAATGGCTGGGCATTTGGCAGACCTTGAAAGGGATTCTGGCAGTGGCCTCAGAGTGACAGGCAGTCATGGAAGGGTTTTAAGCAGTATGTTTTAAAAAGCCCCCTCTGGCTGCTGGGGGTCTGAATGGCTGAGGGAGGGTTTAGAGTAGAAACCCGGAGTGCCGTCAGGAAGTGACTGCTGTAGTCCAGGCAAGATGAAGGTGGCCTGGATGAGGATAGTGGCAGCGGCATGGAGAGGTAGATTATGGAGGTGGAATCAACAGGACCTGTGGGTGGACCAGGTCCTGGATATGGGAGAGAGCTAGATTGGAGGGGCAGGTTTCTCGCCGGGGTGCCTGTTTCCTGAGCTGGGCCGACCGGGCGAGGAGCGTATTTTATAGAGACAGTTCAGGGAGAGTTCTGTTTAGACAAGCCAGGAAGGCGGTTGGGTGGAGAGGTGTGGCGCCCAGAGGAGTGGCCCGGGCTGGGTGGTATATTTCAGAGTGGCCAGCAGAGAGGGCTCTGAACTCTTTGAACCATTTGAGGTTGGGAAGAGAAGGAGGAGATGACATCAGAGGAGTGGCTGATGAGGGGAAGGAAAATCAGGGGATGATGTGGGGTCTTGGAATGTTCCAAGGAGGGGTGGCGAGCAGTACCAAATGCCACTGAGAGTCCAGGGGAAGAGGACCAACGAGTTTCACCCTCATCAGGCAACATGGAGCGCCTTTCCTTACACTGAGTGGGCTGCCCTGGAATTCCACTCATCTGCCCCTATTTTACCCACCCGCTAAGTGCCAGATTCCGTGCAGGGTGCTGGGTATAATGTCAGGCAGACAAGACAGTCACTGCTTTCTCAGAGTTTAGAATCATCTAACCAACAGCCTCAGAAGCTGGGAGGTCTTTCATACCATCAAAATAAATCCTTTCATTCTTTTAAACAACCAGCTTCTTTGGAGAGGCATCTGCATGCCCAGCCCCGTACAGGGACTTAGAGATAGAAAAATGAACAAACGTGATCTTGGCCACGTGCAGGATGCAAGGAAGCGAGCACAGAGATGCATGGAGAATCCCTGCGTTCCCCACACTGTATCACAGAGACTCAGGCAGGGGAATTACGGGAGACTAAAGGACAGGTGCCAGTCCAGGTTGGGGGGATCAGCGTGGCAGAGGGGATGCCTGAGCTGCTCTCCAAGAAGGAATAGGAATTAGACAGGGAAAAGAGGAGGGATAGGGAATTCCAGGCCCAGAGGATGAAGGTGGGAGCAAAAGTAACAGCAGTGTGGGGGATGGTAATCCTGTGGAGCTGGCAAGTAGCCAGGAGTGGTAAGAGACTCGGGAGGGGTCCAGAGGCTTGGGGGGGGGCCTCGCTGGCTCCTGTGAAGTATGTAGACTTAGGCCACGGGACACCACTAAAGAGGTGGATGCAAAGGAGTGACATAGCTGGATCTGTGTGTGGCCTTGCTCTCTGGCTGCTGCATGAGGCATGAATTGGGGGGGTAATTCATAATCCAGGTGAGAAGGTGCAGGCCAGGGTCTCAGCGTGGGCTCTGGGAGCAGGAGGGCTTGGGTTCTAATTCTGCCTGAGCCACTTACTGCTTGTGAAACCTTGGGCAAGTCACTTAAAGTCCCCGAACCTCAGTTTCCTCCTCTCCCAAATGAGGGTAATACCACCCTCGGAGAGTTCTTGCAAGAGAAACCTTGGTCTCCCTGTGGAGTCACTGCCAAGTGCTTAGCACGGGGCCTGACTCCTCGGCTCACACTCTGTCGATGGTGGTTGCCCCTGTTGTTATCAGCAGGCACAGAGAGCAGGGGACAGGTTTGAGAGAATTAGGAGACAGAGTTAGCAGGTTTTGGCCATCAGCTGGACATGGCCTTCTAGTCCTGAACTGCTCATCCTGACCTCATGCCTGGGGTGGTGGTAGAGTGAGGGAGGGGGAGGCAACCAGCTAGCTGCCTCTGGGGCCCAGCCCCCACCTCTGGGCTACCCTTCCCAGGACCACACTGTCGGCGTGTGTGTGCATGCGTGTGAGTGTGCCCACGTGTGTGTTCAGGGAAGGGAGCTCCAGAGAAAACTAATCCCGTTGCTCAGTCCTGTGGCTGCGGGAGCTCAGCTGTGGGCTGACTTCCTTCTGATGAAGTAGATGCCTGTGGGCTGGAAGGACCAGTTACCCTTTGGGCAAGGAGTCAGGAGGTCTGGGTATTTAAGTCCTGGGTCAGCCACAAATTATTCATGACCCTGAAGACTACTGTCTATCGCCAGGACTCAATTCCACCCCTCTAAAATGGGGTTGCATAGACAGTGCCAGTCCTTCCAGCTCTGAGTTCTGACATACTTCAGCAGTCAAAGCAATCCATGCCTTCTTGTCCTGGATGGAGGGAGACCCTGGGAGGGGGCTGGGGCCCACATATCTCCCACTTTGGATAACATTCTGTCGCCCTTTGCATGACCCCACCCACTCCCAGTAGCCCTTCCCTATTGGGTCCAGGCCACCCCTCCGCTGGGGAGTGCTCTGTGGGCAGCGTGAACCCACCATGGACCCCCTAACACCTCTCCCTTGTCTCTTTCATCTCCAGTCTCCCGTCGGCGGAGCAGGAATAAACTTTCCTGGCTAAGTTAGATGGATGGTCCCCATTAGCCTGGCGGGCTGCCCCCTCCTGCCTCCCTGCCAACTCCCCTTGTCAAGGAAGGTGCCTCTGTGTGTGAGGGAGGCTGGGGGGCACGAGCATTTGGGTGGGGGTTGGGGGTGCCCTGCCCCTCGAGCAGGAATGGTGCCCCCAGGGAAGAAACCAGCTGGAGAGGCTTCCAACTCCAACAAGAAGTGCAAGCGTTACTTTAACGAGCACTGGAAAGAGGAGTTTCCCTGGCTGGACTTTGACTACGAGCGGAAGCTGATGTTTTGCCTCGAGTGCCGCCAGGCCCTGGTGCGGAACAAGCACGGCAAAGCTGAGAACGCCTTCACCGTGGGCACCGACAACTTCCAGCGCCATGCCCTGCTGCGCCATGTGACCTCGGGGGCCCACCGCCAGGCTCTGGCCGTCAACCGGGGCCAGCCCACTTTTGAGGGCCAGGCTGAGGGAGGAGGGGCCTACCCAGGCCTGGCAAGCACCCCCACCTCCAGGGGCGTCAAGGTGGAGGTGGACCCGGCCAAAGTGGCTGTGCTGACCACGGTGTACTGCATGGCCAAGGAGGACGTGCCTGACGACCGCTGCTCTGCCCTGCTCGAGCTGCAGAGGTTCAACCTGTGCCAGGCACTGCTGGGCACGGAGCATGGCGATTACTACAGCCCCAGGAGGGTGAGGGACATGCAGGTGGGTGGCAGCCAGAGGTATGGGGGAGGGCATGAGGAGGGAGGACATCGAGCTGTCTGGGCACAGCGCCAGCATGCCAGGCCCCCGGGCAGCAGCCAGAGCACTTCATTCATACCTTCACGCATCACAACTTTACCCAGGGCGTAGTACTATATGCCAGGCCCTGGGCCAGCTGCTGGGGGCATGACAGCGCAGAGGCCAAGCCAGGCCCTGTCCTCGGGGGACCGGGTCACTCCCCTCACTACCTAGGCCAGACGTTGCAAATTGGTGGCCTGCGGGCTTGATTGCCTACAAATGTGTTTTGTTAGTTTTCACAGTGTTTTTGAAAAACTTAAATTAGTTTCTAAGTTAAAAATACTGAGCGATTACGTGTAAAAATGTGGATTTGTGACTTCCACTGAGGAGCCAGGTGTGGATGCTCTCGGGCATGAAGTGGTGGAGGTGGAGAGCAGGGCGGGGGCTTCTCCTTTCCCCTTGCTTTATCCCTGGCCCACTCAAGCTCAGGATCCTCCATGTGGCCCCCGGGGGGCGTGCAGGTTGCAGGTCTGTCCTGGGTACTAGCTGGGTGAGTCCCGGGGGCTAGTGTGGGTGGGGGAGGTGGAGCTCATCCTACGGAGACGACAGACAGACAGAGCGCCCCGCTGGGGCCCTGTATAACTGGTTGGGAGCTGAGAGTGAACGTGTCTCAGTTAATCCCTGAGCAGCGGAGCGGAGGGAGACCCCCAGGAATAAGGCAGGCTGGGGCGATGCTCTAGAAACACACACACACACACAAAATGCTAGAGAATCTTTATGGTTCATAAAGCACTTTTACATTTATAAGCACAATTTTTATAATTCACAACAACTTTTTGAGGAGATTGGGTGCAGGTATTAGCCTGATTTTAGGGCTGAGGAAACAGGCTCAGAGATGTGAAATTACTTGCCCAAGGTCACACAGCCAGTAAGTAGCAAAGCTAGGATTAGTCCCTAAATCTGTCTGACTCTAAGGCCTGTGCTCTTTCTATCACCCCCTCCTGCCTGCTGCCCCTTCTCAGGACAAGCCTAACTCTGTTCTAACTCTGTCCCCCTTCCCTTTCTCTCTCTGGCTGTCCCAGGTGGCCATTGCCAGTGTCTTGCACACAGAGGCCTGCCAGCGCCTGAAGGCATCCTCCTATGTGGGGCTGGTGTTGGACGAGACCAGGGACTGGCCTGAGTCCCACAGTCTGGCCTTGTTTGCCACTTCGGTGTCCCCCTGCGATGGCCAGCCTGCCACCACCTTCCTGGGCAGTGTGGAGCTACAGGAGGGCGAGGCCACCGCTGGCCAACTCCTAGACATCCTGCAGGCTTTTGGCGTGTCTGCACCCAAGTTGGCCTGGCTCAGCTCCAGCCTCCCCAGTGACCTCCTGGGGAGTGTGGGCCGGCAGCTCCGGGCTGCCTGCCCACTGCTCACTGAGCTACACTGCCTCCCTGGCCGGACAGATCCCAAGCCCCCTGCCTACCTCGGTGAATATGAAAGTGTCCTGGATGCCCTATTCCGCCTCCACGGTGGCCCCAGTTCCCACATGGTCCCTGAGCTCCGGGCGGCACTGGACCTTGCAGCAGTTGACTTGGCAGGACCACGGCCAGTGCCCTGGGCCTCCCTGCTGCCTGTCGTGGAAGCCGTGGCTGAGGCTTGGCCTTGCCTGGTGCGCGCCCTGGAGGCCTCTGCTCCCGCCTCGCCTACAGCTAGGGCATTGGCCCTGGCCCTGCGCCAGTTCACCTTCGTGGCCTTTACCCACCTGCTGCTGGACGCTCTGCCCTCCCTGCAGAAGCTCGCCCTTGTCCTGCAGCCAGAGGAGCCGGACTTGGCCTTGCTGCAGCCCCTGGTGATGGCGGCTGCAGCCGCGCTCCAAGCGCAGCGCAGCTCGGGTGGGGCGCGCCTCCAAGGCTTCCTGCAGGAACTGGCGCCCTCTGGCCCCGACTTGGGCGGTGGGCGCTGCACCTACCGAGGCGTGGAGCTTATCGGCTACTCCGAGGCTGCGGTCCGGGACTTGGAGCGGCTGCGCGGGGCCTTCCTGGACTCCATGCGGAGGGGGCTGCGGGACTCGTACCCCGGGCCCTCGCTGGACGTCGTGGCCGCCTTCGCGGCGATCTTCGACCCGCGCCGCTACCCGCAGGCGCAGGCGGAGCTGGGCGCGCACGGCGAGGGGGCGCTGCGGGTGCTACTGAGCGCCTTCGCCCCGGCCGTGGTGCGCCAGCGGGCGCTGGGCGACTTCGCGCTCTTCAAGAGCGTGGTGGGCAGCCTCGGGCGGCTCGGCCCGCGGGCGCTGTGCGCCAGGCTGGCGTGCGCGCACTCCGAGCTGCATGAGCTCTTCCCCGACTTCGCCGCCCTCGCCGCCCTAGCCCTGGCGCTGCCCGTGGGCGCCGGCCTCCTGGACAAGGTCGGCCGCAGCCGGGAGCTGCGGGGGTGGGGGCAGGGCGAGGCCGGGGAAGGCCGGGGCGACCCCGCGGTCAAGATCGCCATGGATGGGCCCCCGCTGCACGAATTTGACTTTGCGCTGGCCGCCGAGTTCTTAGAGAGTGGGTGGGGGGAGGGGCTCCTGGGGTCGCAGCTCACAAGAGGGCGGCCTCCTCCTCTCGGTCCAGCCAGCCTGGGGCCCTGGGCACTCTCAGGGCCAAGCTGAACCTGACTGAGCTGCGCTCAAAAAGACCCGCTAACTGTGGCCTCCGGCCCACCATCCCGGTGCTTCTTCCGCTCCACGCTGAGTACCAGCCCAGCCCCGCAGGCTGTGGAGGAGGGGCTGGGGCGATGGGAGCCTGCGCGAGTGGGCAGAGATGCTAGGGTCTGGGACACCCTAAATATCACTCCTGTCCTTTACAGACTTTGGTGAGGAGCAGCTCACCCTTTCCCTCTGGACTTTGCCCAAGTTTTTGCCCTAGAAAATTTGGGGGGTCTTGGTTGGAGGGAGGAAGACTGGGTTGAGGGGTTGAGGGAAAGGAGAGTGGGTCCTTGACTCTTTCTCAGCCACTCTCCTGGCAGCATCTCTTCTCCAGATGTGACTGGAGAGAAGAGCACTGTCCTTGTTTTTGACACACAGCATAGCACCCTCTCTGTTTACAAGCTAGCAGTTCAAGGGGGGTAGTGGTTTTCTCCCTCTCCTCCCCACCAATAGGCTGCCTGAGGCTTTTCTGTATATAACCATGTATATAGACACATAAATCTACAAATGTGAAATAAATCTATCTATCTTCATAGTGTTAACACGCAAATCTAAAAGGACTTCTTTTAGTTTTGCAATGACAGGGTCCAAAAAAGTCCCAAATGGACTGGATTTATTTCTAATTTTTTTCTTCCTTGAAGTCTGGTTGTTCCCCAGGTGCCTAGCCCTCCCCTGCCCTCACTTCAGACTTTTAAGACCAAAGACTGGAAAACCAAAATGCTGAGCCATGACTGTGAGCACCGGCCTCGGGCCTGACCCCGAGATGCCCGAGGGCTTTCTGCCCTCCTGGGGGAAGCAGTTGGGACCTCTCCAGAGCTGGGCAACATATCCCTTCAGATTCCAGTGGGTTTCCCGTCCCTTCTGTCAGCCCTTGCTGTGAATGGTGTGGGAGTCTGGAGTAGGGGTCGTTAGTGAGAGGGGAGGGGGCAGCAGGCCTTTCCCCAGAGCTCCTGGGTTTGGGTTTAATTTGCAATAAAGTGGAAACCCAGTGCATCATGCAGTCTCCATGGTGGTGTGTGTGTGTCAGGGGCCTACCCTGACTCCTCCGGCTCCTCCCTTGGCTGGACACCCCTCGGGGGTTCGTTTGGGCCATTCTGCCTCTGTAGGGGCCGAGGGTCACCCTTCTGGGCTGAGAACCCTGCGCTGTGGACTTCCTGCTTCTGCCTCCCCAGTTGTGGAGAGGAGAGGCACTGAAACGGGCTGTGATTGCCCCAGCTGGGCCAGTGCTCCTTTGTGAAGCTGGCGACAGGAGTTTCTTCCCTGGCTCCACGGCCAAGAAGCCCATCAGCCTCTTGTTCTGCTGCAGAGGTAGGAGAGAGCCCTGTGGCTCCCCATGTCAGACCCTGCCCTTCTTCCTCCCGCAGCTGGCCCAGCCTCCAGCGCCCCCAGCCCCCTGCTGGCCTCCTTGCCCTTGCCCGCCAGGCCTCTGCAGCCCACGCTGGACTTCAAGCACTTGCTCGCCTTCCACTTCAATGGCGCCACCCCGCTCAGTCTCTTCCCCAACTTCAGCACGGTATGGGCTGGGCTGGCTGGTGGGTGGGGGCATGCAGCCAAGCTTGGGGATGGGCAGGGAAGGTGGGCTCAGAGGGGCCGGCTCTTAGGCACTGGGTCTAACCAGAAGCTCATTCTCCAACATCCACTAGTGACTTGATGTTCCCAAAATAGAGGTCCCTGGGCCCAGCTCTCTGGGCTAAGGAAGGACGATGTTGTCACCTCCACCCCGGATGACAACTACAGGGCCTGTAGGCTCTAAACTATGGGTTCCACTTGAGTTTTCGCATAGGGACTTCTATGGATGGTCCGTGTATGTCTGTGTGCAACTAAGGGGTGCCTTTCTGTTTTAGTTTGTGTCTCTGTAGGTCTTTGTGTGTTATTTGTGGATGTGAATTTGTGTGTTGGTGTCCAGTGTGTATGTGTTTGTAAACAACTCTTCATGTCTGGGTATGTAATAAATGTGTGTGTGCCTCTGCATTTGAGAGGTTTTTTTGTCTTTGTCTCGATTATGTACGTGTTTGGCATGTGCCTGACCTCTAGGTGTGTGTCTTGTGTGGGTTGGGTGATAGTGAGCTGTCTGTGCTTGTGTGCCATTTGAGTGCCGATGTGTGAGAGTGCATCTTTCTCCCCGTCTCTGTGATGGGTAACTGCCTGTAAGCGTATGTCCTCTGTGTCTGTAGACTAGCCTCTGTCATCTATGTGTGTATGTGTGTGACCAACAAGCAGTGAGCATGAATTTTACTTCACTACATGAACTAGAAGGAATAACCCGCCTTTTTAAATTTTGAAAAATCAAATGTAATCGTTGATAACCCCCACCCCATCCTGACGAGATGGTGGGAAATTCTGCTTCACTCGCCCTTAGGCGCCCTTCCGTCCACCCTCCGCGTTGCACAGAGGTCCGCAGGAGCCTGAGACATTTGAGGAGGGTTGTCAGGTCTTTGGTTCCCACTGTCACTTGCTGACATGCCCACTGTTCAGTCAAGCTCCCATGGCCCCTCAAGAGTGAGGGGAGTCACCGTTGTCCCCATCGCTGGGGACCTGGGGGCCATCCTCTGATGTCCTTTCCCCTGCCTGTCCTACCAGCCCTGCGTGCTGTGAGGGTTAAGACCGCCTTCTGTTCTCAGGGAGGTTTCTGAAACCATGCTTTTCTCTCAAAGCCTCTGTTCTCTTCCCTCAGGAAGGTGTGGAAAGTTCCTCTTGACAAGCAAGCCCAGACAACTTCTGCTTTGGGCCCAACAACCCAGGCCCCTGAGAAAGGGGACATAAAGGCTTGGTTTGATAGAAGAAAAAAATTGTTTAAAATAAGGAAAAGAAAAAACCACACAAATTAATATTCCAAAGAAATGATCCTACTACTCAGGGAACCCTCTGGCCTCCACCTGCTGTCGCCTGCTCCCTCCTGCAGCACCCCCGCCCCCTCCCCCCACCATGGTCTTACTCTCCCTGTCAGGCCCTGTGACAGTGGCAGAGCTCATAAGATCAGCGCAAGGCTGGATTATGGGAGAGGAAATTCCAACAGAGGGACTCTTTGTCCCTCCTCTGCCTCTCCCTGCCCCCAACTCTCTGTCCCAAGAGTTGTGATTCTTGTGAATGAGAAAAAAAAAACAAACAGAGACTGGAGGAGCAGCAGGAGATGCCCAGGTGACCACCAGGACGTGGTTCTATTTCTCAGGATCACGGAGGTCACCCTGGCCACCCACCTCCAAGCAGAAGCCCAGGCTGACAGATAAAATCAGGCAGGGGAGAGGCTGTTTCCTTCTCTGTGTCTGACATCCACAAGGATGGGAAAGTTCTTCCTACGGACGGACCACTGCCCTCCTCGACAATCTGCAGTAGTTTCTGGCATTTTGTACTGCCGCCCCTTCCAAGCTGACCCCAGTCATTGTGCCCTCCCACTCCCTTCACAGATGGACCCGGTCCAGAAAGCTGTCATCAGCCACACGTTTGGGGTCCCCTCCCCTCTGAAGAAGAAGCTCTTCATTTCCTGTAACATCTGTCACCTGAGGTTCAACTCAGCGGTGAGAGGGAGCAGTGGGAATGGGCTGGGGAGGGGGCTGGGCAGGAAGAGAGCTGGAGACTGGGCTTCCGGGAGGAATGGGTGCAGAGGGACTGTGGTGGGGATTTCCAGTCCCTGGTTGCAAGAAGAGGCGCTCCTGGTCCTTTACCCAGCCCCTCCTCCCCTCTCTCCAGATTCCTCTGCCCCTTCCCTCTCTAGTCCCCCTGGGACTCCATTTCCCTCCCCTATGCCTCTCTCGTGTGTTCTGGATCCTTCTGCAAGAGAGAAGACTGCCCTTTGCCACTCTGTATGCCAGGGGCCACCCCATCAGCTCCTGGTTTGGACCTGAGTTTGTTAAAGCACCCGAGAGTTCACAGAATATGTTCATGCCCATCATCTTAATTGGTTCTGATGATACATCTGTGAGGTGGATAGAGGCACTATTATCATCCCCACTTGTCAGAGGAGGAAACTGAGCCTCAGAGAGGTTAAGTGACTTGCCTGAGGCCACACAGGTGGTAAGTAGCAGAGCTGGGATTTGAACCCAGGCCTGGCTCCTGCCCCTAGATAGCGGAGGAGCCTCATTCTGGCCTCCCAGGGAAGGCCGACCTTCTGTCCAGGCAACTCTAGGGATTGGGGAGATGCTCTCTCAGACCTCCTCTGATGAAAGGGCCCGGGGGGGCCATGGGGGCCTGTCTGTCCGATGTTTGGGAGCAACAAGCAGGGACCCCTGGTTGAAGGAGGGAGGACACTGACAGGCCACACTTGAGAGTCCCCTCCAGGCTTTCAGGTTCCATGAGTCATGCAAGAGATGCACAAGGAGGCTTCCCTCTGAGGGAGGGATGTGTCCTCATGCCAGGCCCCTGGCACAGTGCCTGGCAAACAGCAAGTGCTCGGGAACTCTGTTGAAAAAAATGAGCAAGGGGATGAATGTTCTGGGGTACACATACCCCAAAGTGTGAGACTACTCTGTGTCCTCCATGTGTGCATTTATAAGCTTAGCAACTAACATTCCTTGAGCACCTACTGTGTGCACTAGGCCCTTATCATTCAGGCTCTCACTTATTCTCACAATCCTGTGAGCTTCCCACCACCCTCCAGCATTATCATCGCAAAGTCTACCAGCGAGGAAACTGAGGCTCAGAGAGGTGAGGTGACTTGCCCACAGATGCACAGCTAATAAGTGGCTGAGTCAGGATTTGAAGCCAGAGGCTGCTTGCCTGGGATGTGTTCTGTAAACCTTAGGGCCACACACATACTGTGATGATGATAGCAATGACAAGGATTCCTCCCTTGTGTGGCCCCCGCCCTGACTCCCCCTGACCTGCCCCCTGCCCAGCGCCAGCTCATGGATGGGATGTGTGGACTCAGCAAATGAATGGTGACCCCGTGCCCTCCCCTCCACAGAACCAGGCTGAAGCACATTATAAAGGCCACAAACACGCCAGAAAACTCAAGGCTGTTGAAGCCGCCAAGAGCAAGCAGAGGCCGCAAACCCTGTCCCAGGAGGGGACGCTGGTGTCCCCAACCCCGACTCCAGGCAGCGACGCCCCAGGAGAGCCACAGAGCAAAGGTCAGTCCTGAACTCTTCTCCCCCTCCCCACTCCAAATCTGGTTTCTGATGAGGGGTTGAGCGATTTCTGCTCATTACTGGTTCTGCTTGGGTGGAGTTCTCCTACATACAGAAAAAGGCGCCCAATGTTCAGCACGATGAATTTTCCGTCTGAACGTACGGGGATCAAGAAACTTGCCACAAGAGACCCGCAGCCTACCTCGGGCCCCCCCTGGTCACTACCTTGTTGTGTTAGCTCCCCAGGGGTGCTGTGATGAATGACCTCCAACTGGGTGGCTGAAAACAACAGAAAGTTATTTTCTCACAGTTCTGGGAATTAGAAGTTTGAGATCAAGGTGTCAACAGGGTCGGTCCCTCGGTGGGGACTCAGAGGGCCAGTCTGCCCAGCCCTACTCTGACTTCGGGTGGTGGCTGGCCATGCTGGCTGTTCCTTAGCTTGTAGATGCATTGCTCCAGGCTCTGCTTCCATCCTCCTATCTCATTCTCCCGTGTGGGTCTCTGTGTCTTCACGTGGTCCTCTTTGAAGGACACCAGTCACTGGAACAGGGCCTACCCCAGCCCAGTATGACTTCATCTTAAATAATTACATCTGCAAAGGTCCTATTTCCAAATAAGATCACAGTCTGAGGTTCCAGATGGACGTGAATTTTGGGGTGACACTATTCAACCACCTACACCCCTCCCCCAGGGTATCTACGGTCTTGACTTTTCTCAGAATAGATCAGTTTCATCTGGTTTTGGTGAACCATGTAATATGTAGGTTTTTGTGTCTGGCTTTTGTTCATCTTTCATGAACATTCATCAGCATTCACGCTAAGATTCTTCCGTGTTGTTGCGTCTAGCTGTGGTCTGCCCTTTTTCGTTGCCTTGCAGTGTTCCATTGCATGACCATACAACAATTTTTTAAAAATCTATTCTCCTGTTGATGAATATTTGAATAGTTTGCAGTTTTATGCTATTGTGAATAGTGCTCTATGAACATTCTAGTACAGTTTCTGGTGATTTCCACTTATTTAACAGTTAGCTAATAACTGTAGAATAGCAGGGCTATGAGGGCTTTCTGAGACCACTCTGTCCAACTTTATGGTTTCAGTTGGGGAGACTGAGGCCCAAAGAGGCCCAAGTCTGCTCAGTAAGTTGGTGGGAGAGTGGGGTAACGAATTCAGTGCTGGTCGTCCCTACACTAGGGACCTTTCCACATTGCCAGGCCACCCTCAATATGTCAGTGCTTAAAATCATGGTCTCAAGAATCATCTCGGGGCCGGCCCTGTGGCCGAGTAGTTAAGTTTGCGAGCTCCGCCTTCGGCAGCCCAGGCTTTCGCTGGTTCGGATCCTGGGCACGGACATGGTGCCACTCATCAGGCCACAATGAGGCAGCGTCCCATGTGCCACAACTAGAAGGACCCACAACTAAAAAAAATATACAGCTATGTACAGGGAGGATTGGGGGAGAAAAAGCAGGGAAAAAAAAAGAAAAGAAGATTGGCGACAGTTGTTAGCCCAGGTGCCAATCTTAAAAAAAAAATTTTTTAATTAAAAAAAAAGAATCATCTCAGGCCTCATCATTGCAGACCTGAAGCCTTCTATCTCCCCCACAGTTCCTGCAGCCCCTTCTCCTGGCCCCCAACTCCAGCCACCACTGACTCCAGACCCTGCGCCCAGGGAGCCAGCCCACTCAGACCTCTTGGATGCTGCCTCCTCTTCCTCTTCTTCCTCCTGCCCACCCTGCTCCCCAGAGCCTGGGAGAGAGGCACCAGGGCCTGAGCCACCTGCGGCTGCTGTGGACAGCGGTGCGAGGGGGGAAGGCAGGAACGAGAGGGGGCGCCTCTACTGCCCCACGTGTAAGGTGACAGTGAACTCCGCCTCCCAGTTGCAGGCTCACAACACAGGTGCGTGTGCCCCACCGGCTGGAGTCCGGGGCAGGGGGACAGGAAGGCTGCCCTCCCCAGGTCTGGGCAGGCTGGGTTTCTGGGCACTTTGCTCAATGGCTTGGTGACAGAGGCGTTATACTCAGCTGTTATTGGGCATTTTGAGTCCTCCTGCTAACACCTGAGGAGGGAGAATTGGGAAGAGAAGTCTGAGGCCGCAAGAACTGAAGATCACTCCCGGGAAGACGGTAGCCACCTCCTCCATCTGTCCTTAGGTCAGACCCAGAAGGAAGAGGACTGTTGAGAGCAAAAGGGAAGCCACCCAGTTACCCTGCAAGAAGGCCTTCCTTGGGGGAGGTTGGCATGGAATGAGAGAAGCTTGGAGGACCTTTCAGATATAAGACAGAGAAATCTCCGGGGGCTGGAGGGGAGTCTATGTGCTGACCAGCCTTGAGGCTAAAGGGGCAACCAAACTGACGGAGTCTGGAGGGATCTCCATGGCCCTTGCAGCCCCTCTTAGGTGCTGACAGGCTGTCTTCTTTCCTTCCTCCAGGAGCCAAGCACCGGTGGATGGTGGAAGGTCAGCGAGGGGCTCCCCGAAGAGGCCGGGGCCGCCCAGTGCCCCGAGGAGGAGCCGGACACAAGGCCAAGAGAGTGACAGGGGGCCGGGGAGGCCAGCAGGGGTCCAGTCCCCCTTTTCACTGTGCACTCTGTCAGCTTCAGGTCAATTCAGAGACCCAACTCAAGCAGGTGGGGGAAGCGCGGATGGAGCGGGGTGGAGCAGGGTGAGGGGGTGGGACCAGTGCCAAGTAGGGAGGGAACCTGAGGACAGAAGGTGGATAGAGCAGAGTCGGGGGTGGAGAGGAGCGAGGGTAGTGGGACAGTGGGCCCCTGGAGGGCAAAGGCCAGTTCTTGCCTCCCCTTCCCAGGGCCACTCCAGGGTGACACCCAGTAAATGTGCCTTCGATGTGTGAACTGTAGCTAGAGGAAGGGTGAGCTAGCCCAGGATGATAGGGTAGTTTGAGGGTCCTCAGGCTTCCTCACCTTGTTCCCAGTCTGTCTTTCTGTCCATTAGCACCTGAGCAGCAAGAGGCACAAAGATCGCCTGGCCGGGAAGCCCCCCAAGCCCTCCAGCCAGCACAGCAAGCTACAGAAGCACGCAGCGCTGGCTGTGAGTATCCTCAAGGTATCTGTCTCCAGGCAACAGAGCTGGGACCCGGGTCAAGAGCAGAGAGGGTGGGCTGGAAGGGAGGGCCAGCTGGGGGGCTGAGGGGTGGGGCAGGAAGGAAGCCACCCCGCTGAGGCTGCCTGGGCAGGGAAAGAGCTGGGGTTAAGTCTTTGGCTGTCTTGGCATCTGCCCAGAGGAATTTCCGGGGAGGTGGGCTGGGGTACTAATCTCAGGGGCCAGAGCAAGGGTGGGCGTGTGTCTCCTGGAGACCATCTCTACCCCACCCCAGAGCCCCTCCCTTCGCCCATCCTTAGAGTCTCCTCCTCTGGGCAGGAAGACAGGTGGCGGAGCAAGCCCTCTGGAATGAATGTTTGGGGGTGGGAAAGGAGGATTTAGGTTTGGAACCCTAAAAGGCACGTTTTTCCTGCAGCAAAAAGCCCAAGGATGGAGCCCAGGGAGGGGGCAGGATTTTCCTGAGGTCAGAGACTGTGTCCACTCCTCTCTCTCTTCTTTGCAGTCTAAACTGGCCTTGCAGAAACAACTGACCAAGACACTGGCAGCCCGCTTCCTGCCCAGCCCGATCCCCACCACAGCCACAGCCATCTGTGCCCTGCCAGGGCCCCTGGCCCTCCGGCCTGCCCCTACAGCAGCCACCACCCTCTTCCCGGCTCCGATCCTGGGCCCAGCTCTGTTTCGTACCCCAACAGGAGCTGTCCGCCCTGCCACAGGACCCATCGTCTTTGCCCCGTATTAGCCCCTGGGGGAGGCGAGGGCTGATGTCCCAGCATTCGCCCTCCCCTTCCAACTCTCTGCGAGATGCCTCGGTTCCCTACATCCCACTAAGGACCCCCTTTTACAGCCTAGGGGTTCTGCCTGATCCAGGAGGAGCCGGCTAGTTTTAAGGGCAGCTGTGCTTCACACAGTCTGGAGATTGAACGAATCCCCTCCCCACCCGCAACCTAAGGACCATCCATCCCCACCCTCCTTTCCCTGGCCTTCCAGGGCTTGTCTTGGCCTCCCCTGTCCTTCCCAGCCTGACTTAGGGGGAGCAAACTGAGAAATCCCCAAGATCTATGCAAAACCCTAGCCCCAGCCCCACGGTGCTCTCATTTCCCCTACTCAAGACCTATACTCACATAGCAGAGGCCCTAGGAATCTAAACTCCTTCCAGCCTGGGTACAAGGCTGTGACCTCTACTCTCATGCCCCAGGAAGGAGGCCCTCCCCATTCACTGGCTTCTCTGGAGAATCACGGGAGATGAGGGACAGGTCTCAAGCTGGAGTGGATGCAAGGCTATCTGGACAGAGACGGTGGAGGCGTGATGGAAGTCTGTGGAGGAGAAAGGGGGCAATGCTAAGGTGGGGCCAAAAGCTTTGGGGGCTTCATCTGCTCTGACAGGATGGGGCTAGGATAGGAGCAGGTGAGGGGGATGTTCTGGCTGGGCCCAGTTTTAATAGAGGAAGTGATGAATCCCACAAAAGGACTCGCCTCTTAGCCTTTCACTGATTCTTCCTGAACCCCAGCTCTTCGGAGGGGGGGACTGGGTCTCCCTCAGACTATGGACCCAGCTAACACCGGATCGCCCCGCCCCCGAGGGCTCCCAAAGAGCTGTCCCCTCCAGCTCCTCACCCCAAACTGGTCCCTAGCACTCAAGGGGTTTCCTTCCTCCAACCTCCACCCCAAGCCCCCTCACTGTGAAGCTAAGCGGTGGGACACAGTCTGATATACTCTCAAGACCCATTTTCGTGCCGTCAAAGTTAATGCCACAACCCCCATCCTGCCCAGCACTGACCCCCAAACCCCACAATATGGGACTTTGCCAGTATCCACCTGTATCATCTTTTTTCTTTTTTTTAGGTATTTCCAATGGGAAAGCAAGAAAAGGGTGGGGGAGGGAAACTTTTTGATAACGGTTGTGGTTTTATTGTATCCAATGCATCAATAAACGAACTTTAAGCGCGAGTCTGTACGCGCCCTAACTTGCCTCGCCCAGCCCTGGCCAACTGCCCCTGCTCACCGCCCGTCTCGGGGAGAAGGCACGGGTACTGGAGCTTGCCTGGCTATAGTGTCTCACCTGTGCCAGGTGTGCATGGTGGCAGAAGCACGAAGTGGGCACAGGAAGTTGTGGGTCATAAGCTCACTTTGCAGCGTGTTGCGAGTGTCACCACCCTTCTGAGCCCCGACAGATCTGTCAGCTCCTGAGAAGCTGCTACTGGTTTGCCTTGTTCTGTTGAGGCATCTGAGGTAAGAAGGAAGGGCTAGAGGAGCACCTTGTCCAGCCTTCACCATGGCAGCAGGCTCATTTAAAACAGGTAATTTATAAATAGAAGTCCAGCTATTAGCTGAAAACAACCATAGGAAGGGGTGGAGACCGGCCCCCCTGGGTGTGATGTGCCCCACTGGGCACTGAGCAGCCACTCTGGCAACAAGAGCAGATAGTGCGCTCCTGCCCCCTGGTGGCTGGTGGAGAGCAGTGTCCCAGCCTCCGGGACGGGTAGGCATAGCACCTTGAAGAGGGAGAAGCGAAGGGTACAGTCATAGCCAGCCGGAGGCCATGGGCATTATAAACTCACAGGGCTAGAGAGGATCTAGAAGGTCATCTAAGCAACACCCGTCACCTCATAGATGAGAAAACTGAAGCCGGGAGAGGGGAAAGGCCTTGCTGAGTCACAAAGCCAGTGGGTGACTCAGCCCAGTCATTCGCTTCCACCTCACCCAATGAGGCCCATCTGCTCCCTGAGCAGGAAGAGGAAGCAAAACAATGGGGCAAGAGGTAACACAGAAAATTACACTTCCCGAGAGGCTGGCTTCTTCCAGCCAAGGTAAGGACAGCAGAAATGTCAGGGCGCTGGATGAGGGGCACCCCTAACACTAGCATGCACACACGTGTACACGTGTGCACACGTACACACACATACACAATACCTGAATGCCCTTTAGTCTAGGCCAGTGCCGTGTGTGTGTGTGTGTGTGTGTGTGTGTGTGTGTGTGTGTGTCATTGGCAGGAAGCCCAGAGGCGTGGGACCCCTGTGATTGGAACCAGACCCTACACTGGGCACTTCTGCATGGTAGTTCTGCTTCCTGTCCAGGACAGGTAGAAGGGACACTGACCCACAACTGCCTCAGGTCACAGCAAGGCAGACAGGATAAGAACTGAGGGTGGGGGGTAGGGGTTGGGGGCGCTAACCTAGATTATGTGCACTTCTCAGAGTTGGGAGGGAGCAAAAGTAGCCTGATCCTGGGACAGCTCAGCTGCCTGTCCTAGTGGGGGGCTCCCCTGCTGCTTGGGAAGGGCAGCTTGCCTAACCCCCCTTTCCCCTCAACCCATCTTCCAGAGCCCCAGCAGCTGGAATGGGGGTGGGAAGGTGAAGAAGGGATGGCAGCCATTCAGCCATCCAAGGAGCCGCTGCCCTTGTTCTTGCGGCTGAGGGGGAAGGCGGACTTGCTCTGGGGCTGGGTCATCTTGCTGGCCAGATAGACGAAGGGTTCCAGCAGGGAGCGGCGGTCAGCCACCGACACCTCCCACAGCTTCACCTTCTCTGACTTGGCCCAATGCTGAGCCACATCTGGGTCTACACGTCGCTGCTCCTGCAGGTCACACTTGTTGCCAAGGACCACGATGGTGACCTAGGGAAGAGGGACAGAGCAGAGGCCTGTGGATGGACCATGGACCTCTAGAATGGGTGTGAGGGCTGGTGACCACCTAGGAATCCTAGGAGAAGGAAAGTCTCAACGGCTGATGTCTCATCTCTTCCTATATTAAAAATCACAGACTAGGGGGAGGGAGATGGTTGCTCTTTTCTCTTTTTCTGTCCAAATTTTGGCCTCCATCTGGCCCTCCCTTCAAGAGTTTTATTATAAGCCCTATATTACCCATGCTTATTCATTACTAGTAGTCAGTTTCTAGCTAAACAACTGGTGAGGAAGCACTCCCAGAATGCCTGTGGCTTAAAGGGAGATTTGAGAACAGCAGGGCCTTCATAGCTAAGAGGACAGAATCATGATAAAGAAAGTAGGGCTCATGCCTCAGGTCAAGGAGCTCTTAAACTGAAGAGCAACCTCTTTGGTTGAGCTGCCTCAACATGTGGCCACCTCTGGGGGTGAAGACACCTTTCAGTGCCTTTCAATCCCCCTTTAGCTCCTAACCCATGTCCTGGCAAATGAATGAAAAACAGAGCCTAGCCAAGCCACCACAAGGCAGCCCAGGGCCCAGGCTCTCTCACCACTGGGGATCCCACACACACCTCCTTCTTGTCCTTGGATTTGTCGATTTCCTTCTTGAGCAGCTCCACGCGCTGAAAGGACTCTCGGCTGTCCGTGCTGTAGACCAGGACGTAGCCATCAGTGCAGGAAAAGCAGTGCCGGGGCAGCTCGGCCCCATCTCGGAGCCCCCGGGTGTCATAGAAACGCACCTGCTCCCGCACCCCCCGGTCAGTCTCAATGGAGCCCACATAGATATCCTCTTGCGTCTCAATCATCTCAGAACCTGGGATAAAATGAGGAGAAAACTCGTTTGTAGGGAGGAGGGAGATGGGAAACCTGAATGAATGAGTATATCCTGACAACCTGACCAGATAGGGAGAGAGAGAAATGTGGGGGGCTGAGGAGAGGGAGCCAGAGACTGAGTGGCAGGACTGGAATGATTTGAGGGAACAGATATTAATGTCATGCTCATACCATCCTAAGCAAAAGTGTGACTTGGGAGCTTTTCCTCCCTATCTAGGATATTGGGTTTCCTTCCTTCAGATGTCTTCAGTGTTGTAGGGTTGAGGGTCAAGATGTAGATGTGACTGACTCTTTGGGATGTAATAACCACTGGGAACAGCTAAAAGCTTTTGTGTGCTGTGATCAAATCCTACTCCTCATTCTTCAAATTCTTCCACCATTTCCCCGCCCCCAACAACACTCACCCACTACATGGTTCCCATACAGAAGCTGCTCCAGGATTGAAGTTTTGCCCACAGATGCCTGGCCACACACGACCACCTTGCAGCTCTTCCCCATGCTTAGCCTTCAACCTTGAAGAACAGAAGCACACTGGGTGAGGTGGGGTCAAAGAGGGCAGACCTCCCATAACTGAGAGCCCAAGTTCTGAACCGAATTCGCAGCCTCGGGGATTCAGCACTGTCCCCTACTCTAGTCAGGATGTATTGAAGTCATTTGTCTGTGTCCACTACTGGACAGGAAGCTGTATCTTATTGATCTTTGTCATTCTCAGTATCTGGCCAGGAAGTGACACAGCGCAGGTGCTCAATATATGTTGCCATAAAGGAGGAAGAGGATTGCTAGTTTAAAGGAACCACTGGCCAGTCCTTCTCTGTGCAAAGGATGCGGAGGACCAGTTGCTGAAGGGAGCTCTGGCTCAGCTTCCTCTCTTTAACGACGACTCCATGGAGAAATAAGCAGGAATACTACTTTGTGTGGATCTGTCTTAAGCCACTCTTCCTGGGGAGAATGAGCAAATAAGGAGGATATTTTGCTTTCCTGTATGACTTACCTAGGCAACAATCAATTACCTCTAATTCCCAGTCAAGTCCATGGCTAAGAACAACACACAAGAAAGGAATGAAGGAATCTAAAGAAAAAAGGCTTCGGAAAGGAGATAATTTTTTGCTACCCTTCGACTGACCCAGATGAGAAGGCTCAGACACAGAAACTCCTTCTCCGAAGCGGCCCCAGAGATCTCCCCGAAAACATCCCAAATACAGGCTTCCCAGAAGGAGCCCCAGACGAAGAGTTCCCCGGAGAGCAGAGATAGAGAGAACACACCCACAAGGGTCTCAAACAGAAACCTCTCCAGAGGAAACTCCTGAGTCAGACCCTCCTCCACCCCCGCAAGGGGCCCCATGTACGTAGGGAGCCCTGCAATTAAGGGATACCCCAAGGGAGCGCCCAGTGGGGACTCCGCCACAGATTTCCCCACGACGGGACCCCCAAGAGGGAATCACAAGCGACAGAAACCTGCCACCTAAAGCGGCCCAGACGCAGTGGCCGATCCCAGCCTGCCAGCTCCGTACCTCCCGGGGCCCTTGCAGCACCCCAGCCGGGCCCCTCCAGGAGCGCGGGGACCACGGGCGGGGCAAGGCGGTCGCAAGGGCTCCGTCCTTCCGTGTCGAGCCAGGCTCCGCTGGCCCCGCCCCCCAGCCTTCGTCCGGCAAGACAAATTCCGGCGGTGGGGAGTGGGCGCCGTCCTCACAGCGCCCCCAGAGGCCGGCGGGGGAAGTGACGGCTGAGACCTGGAGGCGGAGGTTGTGTGCACACGGTTCTAGGCTCGCCGGACGCGGCGTGCTGTTCTGGTGCGTCTGATGCACCAGATAGAGAAATGTTCTGTCTCTAAAGGGTACCATAATACAGTAACACTTCGTTTATTCAATCGTTTATTCCTCAGATGTCTTCTGAGCACCTACTCTGTGCCACGTACAGGACCAAAAGCTGAGAAAAAGCAAATTAGACACTGTAGCTGCTCATGAGAACGTCACCGTCTAGAAGAGGCAGACATCTAAACCAACAATTACAGTATAGCATGGCAAGACCTATCACAGAGGTGCTATGGGAGCACAGCAAAGGGGCATTTAACTTGGAGGCAGTGGGCATTATGGAGAACTCCCTGGAGGTCATGTCTGTGTTGAGGTTTGAAGGGCTTGGGAGGAAAGGGTGGAGAAAGCATGGCAAGAGTCATGGCATTTTCTGGAACTACAAAGACGTGAGTTCAATATTAATGGTGGAAAGGAGCCAAATAACCAAAGGCCTTAGGTGGTTGGCCAAAAAGTTCAAACTGTATCCTAATAGCAGTGGAAAGCCATTGATAGGTTTTACGCCAGTGAAGTGACATCAATTTTTGCTTTAAGAAGGTCACTCTGGCAGAAGTCTGAAGATTGGAGAGAGATGAGACTGGGGGGTCAGTTAGAAGACTTCGGTAGTATTCCAAGTTTTTAAAAAATTACAAGAACCTGGAAAGGGAT